GAAGTAATTTTATTCCGCATGCCATTTTCCTGAGAATCTTTTTGATTTCATCTTGGAATGTTATAAACTGATCTAAAATTACTCCTAGGTATTTAACATTGGTTTTTTCCTTAATTATTTTGTCATCTAGAGTTATAGTATACTTTTCATCCTTTTTCCTTGAATCTATTTTTTCTTGCTGAAAACAATGATTTCCGTTTTTTTTGCATTCAACTGAAGTGAGTGTTCTAAAAAAAATTTGAGAACAGACTGCAATTGGCTTCGAGTGCTTTAAGAGCTTTTTGTGGATCGTTTTTTTCACAGAATAGTAAGATATCATCCGCATATTGAACTATTTTACATGCTTTGTCAATTTGTTTGTTGAGATCGCTAATGTAGAGATTGAATAAGAGAGGTCCTGGGACAGTGCCCTGTGGGACACCCTGCTCAAGTGTAATCCAATCGGATTTGGTGTTGTTAACAATTATTTTCTGGCTTCGTTTGGTGATAAAGGAATTGATCATTTCTATAGCTTCTTCGGAAAAGTTTAACCCTTTTAATTTCTGTTTAAGATAAGTATGATCAAAAGAATCAAATGCTTTAGAGAAATCCAGTAGGGAACATGCTAGAGTTTTGCTGTTGTCTATTGCTTTTCTGAATGCTTCAGTGCAATAAAGAATAGCGTCGATTGTTGAATATGATGTTCTGAACCCAATTTGGGTATTACTTAGTAGTTTTTTGGATATCAGATATTCGGTGATTTGTTTATATTTGTGCATTTGAGAGAGCCCCAGTTATAGAGATAGGTCTATAATTTTCTGGTAATTCTGGATCCTCTTTTTTGTATATTGGTGTGACAATTGCTTTTTTGAGCTTGCAAGGATATGTCTTGTTTTTCATAGACTCAATGTACAGAAATGTCAGATGTGTTTATATTTCAATTCAGCCATCCTTCATTGCTCAGGCTGGAATTTTGGACGGTTCTGGTGCCTTTCGACAATTTAAACTATTTTTTTTACATTCAGCTGATGTGATGAATTGGAAAGAAAATTTTTTATTATTTTGAATATTGCAAGTAGAAGTCTGTGGATTTGCCTGATTTTTGAACTTTTCTCATAAAAGCATCCAAAAATTGAGAACTTGTAATTTAGCAGGTTCGCCATCTGTAAATTATTGGTTATGAAATCGCCGAAAGTGTTTCTGGGTAATGGAATGAGGTTGGAAGCTTTTTTTGAGTTTCTTGGGTCGTTTATTATACTCCATTTTTCGCGTTCGCTTTTTTCGCGTTAAACAGTTGGGATACAAATTTATCATCTTCGTAAATTACCTTTGCTTTGTCGCTGCGAATGAAAATAGTCTCAGAACAATTGGATTTGTCACGTTTGATTGGTCTTACGTTGTTGTTCAGCTTAAGTTCTGTTATGAATGCTGTTGCTTGGTGGTCGGTCTTAATTGGTGGTGTGAGTACTAATGAATTATTTTTTAGATGTTTTATACTTAGGTCGGTGATAATATAGTCATTTGTGCTTTTGAGTGAGAAGGTGTTAATTTGTTAGTGAAGTCCAGATTATATGGTATTAAGATTGTATCTAAAGACTGTTTGTCGTCTTTGTTGAGATAGTTGAGATTGTAATCTACTAGTAAAATTTGGCGAGATCTTCTAAGAAGTCTGTTTTGTTGTTTCTATTAGGATTGTAGGCTAGGTTTAATAGAGTGGTTCTATCTTTTGTGTTGAGTCCGGCATTAAATTCTATCCAGATGCTATCATACGTTTTGTGCATGTCGTTTAAGTCATGTCTTACCTTTGGGTTTAACTTTTTAGGAACCAGTAACATGACCCCTCCACCCTTCAATTTTTTACTTGATTCATAAGTTCTATCACATCGTAACAACGTATGTTTGTCATTGTCTATGGCCCATAGTTTATCGTCATTTGTATCATTGAACCATATCTCGGAAAATCCGAAATTTTTATTATCATTAATAGTTTTAATAAGTTATTTGAGATCTGAACGCTTTCTAGCTAAACTTCTACAATTAAAGTGTAGTACTTTCAAGTTGTTGTTGTAGTTTTCCAGTTTTTTCTTTATTTGACTGAATTTCATGAAGGGTCCTGGTTTTGGGTGGATATCCCCTGATGTTAAGCAAGTTTTATGAATGGACTTTTCCTGTTTTTTGTAAGTCTTGCTTGTGTTTTTTTTAAATAATAATTGTAAAAGTAATAGCTTATTTTATTAAGTATAGTGCAATAATATTTGTTCGAGTATATTGTGGCAACCCATGGAAAGATGCTTTCCTTTCTTTTTATTCAGTACCTTATAAGCTGCAAAGTGATCGCTTTCGCAGAAGCTGATGACAGATATGCTAGTTTAGACAAAAAGTAACAGCGTATCGTTTTGTAGAACGATTTTAGTTAAAATTACAAATAACAAATTTACTTACCAAAATTATTGTTGAAATCATATTAACTAGTATAGATTTTGATCCTCAACATGATGATTTGAGTCAGTTTCTTGGATTAATTCCGAAAATAGTTTTTTATGTGATGTTTTCTTAGGTTGCCGTTGTGGGATTTTTATTGTTTAATGGTTTTTTTGTTTCTGATTTTGCCCGTATTTTAGAAAAAATTTTGAAAAAAACAACTTCGATCAAACCGTAACTTATTTGAAACAACCAGACCTTGCAAAGCGACATACTTTTTCTTAATTTAAATTTCAGTTTTTTCTGTTTTTTATATCTAAGTTTTTGTTAGCATGTTAAATTTCTCATTGGCAGTTGGTGTAGTATGTGTTTTCGTGCCTTGTTTTCCAAAAACTTTTTTTTCAAAAAGTAGGTGTACACGTGCCCTTTTTCCTCAAAATAATTTTAAATATTTTCTTGGAATGTTAGAATATCTTTGAAGATCTTAAACCATATGAAAAATTTTACCACTGCTGTTTTTCAATAAAAAATCTAAGTGGTGCAATAACATAATTTTCGGTAAATTTTTCATTGAAACAAATTATCTCTAGGCAAAAGTAACTAGTTTTAAAAAACTGAACATCTGCGCATATTTTTTCAGAGTCCGTGATTATTTGAAGTTTTCTTCCAAGAAACTTGATAGTGTAACAGTCGCCTACTTAAGTCACATATGAAGTTAAAGAAAAAAAAGGCCCTATAACCATTGGCTCAAGAGAGGGACACTATCTCTTGTGTTTTTCTACCTCGAACGGTCGGAGCCAATTCGGTTCACATGCGACATGAGACTAAAACCCTCATTTTAGCTTAAAGGCCACTAGCAAAATACCCCCCCCCCCACTCTAGAAAATAAAAACGTCCCCATACTTAGGTCTGAAAATACCCAAAATACGCGAACGCCGTTAAAAACAGGGTCGGAACAGTCCGTAGAGTTACTTTTTATTAGACAGTGGAACTTTGATCCATTTCAGATGGATCAACCTAAAACTCTCCTAACCTCAACATAACAATTATAAAACATACCCAAGAAAACTAAATTGGGTACTCACGTTCCGTTTCGTTAAACTCTCCTAACCTCAACATCAAAATTATAAAACACACCCAAGAAAACTAAATTGGGTACTCACATACCAGCACACTCGAGAATTGGAGTAACTAAATTAATCAGCAATTCTAGCATTAAGGTAATTAAGTTTTAACTCAAGAAGTTTGTAATTAATGAATTACAGCAAGGGAAATGAGTTTTGACTTGAGAATTGAGTTTTGGAGCTGGACCATTGGGAGACCCCAGCTGTCCACCTTTCCACTGAAGGTTCACTCTGGTCCACTTCTTACTTTTGTCTGCTTTGTTCGCAATCGCTCTGCCTCCTATTCAGGATAGGACAGCTCTGCTCTAGTGCGATTTTTGTATCTGGAAATTGCGAATAACAATTTCCCGCCTTTTTTTTCGATTACTTTCCCGCGATTGTAAATTGATTGTTCTTATCTTGTATTTCTGAGATTTTTAGTTGTCGCGAGAAAGTTGAGCATGACAGGCTCAATTCGAATTTTTGAAAAATTCCATTTCACCCCAAAATTACGTTGTTCGTATTGCTCAAGGTCAAACTTCCAAATATGACCGACTGGCACATACTTCCCGGACTCAAGATCAATGTCATCATCGCGTGTTGCCGTCTGCCAGTGAATCCCCAGAATGTTGAGTGTTGCTCAAGATACAGTGCGAAAGGTCATTTACAGAAGTTTGCAGCAGATTTAACTTTATCTACGTCCCAAAATTCTTAACCATGCAAAATTGTCACACTATCGCTGAACGGCAATCAAAATTTGCATACACTTGCACCTTAAATTTCCGCTTTGCAAGCTAATGATTAAAATTTCTCTTGTTTTATCCAATCAGAAAATTGTCATGCAGCATTTTGATTTATGTAAAAATTATAGTATTTAATAACAATGTTCCGTTTCGTTAAATTTTCTTTTTCGTGACCTCAGATTTCATCCGAGTTCACACCCAAGCCCCTTTCCTTCCCTCTCAAGTCTCAAGAAACCCTCATTGAGCCTCCTGCTCATTTCGTACTCCTAGCCTTTGAGGTGCTAGGCCCTGATGAGTTTGACACCGTGATCTGCCTTAGCAGCGCTTCCTCATCATCGGAGCTGATTACGATCGCTTCCCACGCTTTTAATTGTTCGAAGGATCGCATCCACTCCCTCTGCTCTTGTAACCTCTTTGCCTGGTTTGGCAAACCCTTCATTTTCGATTCCCTGTTCAAGCAAAAGGAATGGTGCAGGCTCAGGCTCAGGTTCTTCGCCAGGTCCTCTTCCAGTATTAACTCCCTCGCCTTGGTATTATCCCTAGACACTCTACCGACTCTTTTCCATCACGTCGTGATCGCATTTCGGTGGGTCAGCAAAGGTCTCTTGAAGGCTTCCGGTCCTATCTCTGCCAGGAACTGTCGGTATTCTTTCTGGTGCTTTTTCATGTGGTCTTTCGTCACCATATAGAACCAAGATGTCAATGTCGCTCGAAATCACGGGAGGAACCTTATGCGGCTCCATACGTGCCTGACCTCCATAGTTATGGCAAATACCTTGCACGCAGTCTCAAACAACTCAAGTCTCCTGCTATAATCAATGGCGTATATCGATTCCGCCGTCGGTGTCTTCGATTCCGGATATTTCGTCACATTCTCCCCGATCCACCGCAACGCCAACATTGTGCTCACTACCAAATTGGTCACCTTCTGCCGATGATCGGATAATCCGATCGACCGAATTTCTTCCATGTCCCACACTAAACAGAGGTTTGAGTGTTCCGGGTAACACACCGTCTGTGCCAAGCAATGGCATGGGCTTTCCCCATGTATAATATCGATGCTCCGGAGGTTGCGTTCTCGCGAAACTTCCAGTAGAGGTTCCAATTCCATCATCTCCTCATGTGTTGTATCATTTTCCTCCTGCGCTGGGACACTATTCATCGGCTTCCCGATTGTGTTCTGTCTCTCGAATTCACTTGTATTTTCGATTTCCAAACTCAAGAGTTCTACTCCCCAGATTTCACGAAAGTCATCTCTTTTTGTTCCCTTGGTACAGTTCCCAGGATCTTCCTCAACAGCCTATGTGAATGATGCGACATTCGAGTCAGTCGTACGCATTTGGGTACCGAGAAGGCTTTATCTACTAAGATCCTCTGGCTGGATATCTCTACCATCGCCATGTGTAATGGATAGTGGCTCCCACATAGGTTGGCAATTACTGGTCCCACCAAGGGTTTTGCATTTACTGGCAGACCGTAAACTTCGTTCACGGGAAATCCCATTTCCGCCTCAAGACCAATCTTCCACCCTCTGATGTGTTTCTGGGTTGTTTGCAACGCCCCCGGCCACGACTCCACGCTCCATGCTGTCACCAAATGGTGCTCAGACTCCAGCATCTCCAGTGATTGTTAAATGCACATAATTGAGAAGAACCCCAGCGCCGTTGCTATATTCACCGTAGTGTTTGTGTAGCACTCAGCCACTATCTGCACTTCGCTCTTCTCTCTTTCTGTTATGTCGCCAGACCAAGCGACTAGGTCTTCTCTCTGGAAAGACTGTATTCTGACACATGATCGTCCATCACAATAGTGCTCTCCGCCTCCGCACGTCAAGTCAAGACAGCTACCGGGTTCCAACTTCTTAACTGATCCTAGCTTGATCATTGCCTCGCCCGACTCTTTACTCTGCGGTAGGATCAGTTTGTGAATTATATTCAGAGTTCCCAAGTCTTCATCTTTCGTCGGTGTTAGCCTCACTCGTTCCGTGACTTCTTCAATCAAGCTTGAGTGGTGATGTGGGCACCAGGAGGGTCTCAGCAACTTCCAAACCGTCCCAAATTCGTAGTCATCATGCCATTTCCATTCCCCATTTTCAATTCCACTCTCTTGTTCGAGCGCGGTACGCTTATCACCATTGGCATTCTCTAGAGTATTAGGCCCAGGTTCGGTTTCTACCTTTCCATTGAATCAATTTCGATTATCTTTTCTGTCCAAAACTTCAACAGCTCCGTCACTTCGTGATTCTTGTGAGCGCTCCCGGCCACTGAATCTAAGAAAGGGCTGTATGCTATCCCCATTACTCCAGATTCATATTGGTATTCTCCCCGTTTGTTGAGTCTCAAGTAATCCTCAGCCGAGGCCAAGTTACGATGCACATCATGCCCCTCTTCGAATTTCTTGTTATAGAAACTCCGTATTTCATCAAGTTTCCCATGATTCTCTAGAGAGTGCCTGGAGTCATCTTCCTTTTCGATCCCCGTATGATCGTGGAGACTCTCCTCTCCATAGTTTTGCACCCCATGGCCTTCTGATGACACGCTTGGACGGTACTATTGGTCATTACGGACATTATCCACCTCAAGAAACAAGTGGCATCTTTTCTCTGGCAACATGCTGTACCAGCATCTGATATACTTCTAGACTCTTGTTGCCCAACTTCAACTTATCGTGTGAGGTCAATACTTTTAATTCTATTCCCACTAAGCTCCACGCGAACGTCAGCTGCCCCGATGTTCTAACGAAGGGAAACGCCATCAATGGCAACGCGGACGAAGGTGTTCTCATCGCCTCCTCGAAGTGATCCCGCAAGAAGTTCTGCCAAGTTCGCTTCAGCTGACTTCCCAATTCTAATTTGTTAATCTCGGCTTTTTGTTGGGTAGCCCAATTGCGACGCTTGCGGGACACCCCACGATCGAGCTTTTTCAGACAGTCCTCCAGTTCCTTCATTGTCTCCAGAGCCACCCACCAAGGTCGAGCCGTATTCTTTGTCGCATTCTTCTCAAGAGGGTCGCTGGCCACTTGTTTGCCAATAGCCTGATGCTCGCTCGAGATCCATTCTTTGCCAACATCCACTTCCCATGTTTGTCCAATCGTCGAACCCTTTTTCGAGCTCGCCAACTGAGGTCTGAAGTCTTCCTCCGTTGCAAGACTCGTCGAGACCTCTATCTCTTTCACCACCTCGGCCAGCCTCCTTGGTTCGCAGCTACTTTTGTAGGCCGCGGTCTTCCATCGCGCTAGAATCATGGCAGCCGTCTCCCTCAAATTCTTCTCAGAGACAGCATCTGCCGGCGGGCTATTCAACTCCTCTACTTCCCTTTTCCTCTTTCGAGACTTCACACCTTTGCTTGGGGGCGTCGTCACTATCATCACTGATTCGACCTCTTTGTCCCGGTCCAACCCTTCCGAATCTTGCCTCCCCCTACTCGAGCCTTAAGGATATTAAAATTTTTAATCATATTACTAGTCTTAAGCTTATCCTCCCCTTCAACTTTAATCATTTTATCGTCAATTTTTTGTTTCAGAGTAGAGCTGTCTTTACATTCATCATCTTTGGTCTTCTGCTCCGTTTCTCGCAGCTTGATCATCTCACCCAACAACTCCTTTCTCGCCTTTTGTCCAGTCCGCTGCCCATCAGAACTGGTTCCCCGAACTTTACCACTGGGTCCCATAACTCTTCTTTGAAACTTTCCAGTGTAGCTTCGGTCTCTGCTTTCTGGTTAAATTCACTCAAGAATTTTAGCCATGTCTTCTCATCCAGCGTACTCAGTAATATCCATTTATTTCCCTCGAAATTATTCTTCTTACTCTCTTTGGAACTCAAGAGAATCATCCCCATATTGGAGGTTTCGCCGCTCAAGGATAGTTCCAGGTTTTTGCCAGGGGATGATGCCAGGGGTGGTGTGGCTGTGTTCGCCCAATCGTCTCCACTCAAGTCCTGCAGCAGTTACTGTGTGGTGAAATCTTTCTCAGCCGCTTTCTGCTCAAGCGTATTCCCCACCTCCATTTCCTCTCCTGTTTCGCTGAGAGTCTCATCTATGCTCTCCCCTTCTGACTCAGCTCGCGTTCTCTCAAGTACGTCTCTAAACCTCGTCTCCACGGGACCGCTTCTCTTATCTCCAGGGGTGCCCACTGATAGGGGTGAGGGTGTATCTGGATCCTGCTTCTTGTATTCCGTGAGGGCTAGATATAAGGGGCCTGCCTCATTCAGCTCCTTTTCCCCTTGCTTCATCTCCAACTGCTCCAGCCCGTAGGGTGCTCGATATTTCCTCGTGGCGAACTTCATTTCGTCCTTCAAGGCGACTTTCCCCTCCTCCACAATCATTCTTCCATCATCCCAAACTGGCAGCATATGCTCCAGTCTGGCCTGGTCAAGCGTCCTGAAGATAAACCGAACCTTGAACTTCGGGGGCAACGAGCCTCTCATCCTCTTCGCCTGGGTCGTCCACGAGTTTATTTTGATATAGACTGCGGCTGTATACCCAATGAACAAGGGGTCCCAACCGTCCGTGAACTCCTTCTGTTGCTTCTCCACCATGGCTCTCGCGTATAGGGCTAGTCATCCCCAGTGTCATTCTGACTATCGGGAACTCTGGGACAGTGGTGGGCAGAATCTCTCGCTCAAGTATCATCTCCAGCTCTCTCTTCACCAGATCAAAACTTCCCTTCCATGCCGGGACCTCAAAAATCTCGTGCTTATTCGCTGCCAGTGGATTCAAATTCCAGAACTTGGAGTAGGCCTCTATGGGACACTAACGTTAGTTGAACACCATCAGTTCGGGATCTTTCACCTTCCCGAAGAGCACCGTGTCACTCATCCGTGCCCTTAGCTCCTCCTGTCTGCACCAGTTCAGCGCGGTTCCGTCTAGCACGCTTATTAAGCTCACGTGTGCCACTGAGTGTCGGTACGCCGCCACAAGCGGGTCGGGAAAAGCATATGTCACTGCTGTCCCATAGATGCAGGTCACTACCTCACCAAAGCCCCTGATCATCCCTAGTGGGTCAGATCTCATGGCTAGACATAGATCCGTCAAGAGAGGCATACCTCCATTCGCCTCCTTCCATTCCTCTTTCGTCTTAGGATTCTTCTCTTCTCCCGTCAGGTATCGATTCTGCATCAAGAGGCATTCCATCAACGGCGTCTTCAATCCGGCCGTGCACTTGTACGAGTAGGTCTCCGTGCTGGGATGGGTCTTCCCCATCGACAGAGGCTCTCCATACTTCATCAAGCTATGAAATGCGGTCAGCTCTCCGTGGCTCAAGAGTACTAGTGTCAAATACCCGTCAATTCGTAGTGTTTCCACACCTCTACTGAACATGTAGGCCGGACCCATGTTAAATAGGTACCTGGGTAGACCAACTATAGGGCCAACAAGATATTTATGGGCATGTTCAGCAGTTCCTGCACGAACGCGTCGAAGATGGTATCTTTCGCGTAAAACACTTTAGCCATGTACCTCTTCTCCCAACAAAGACTCAAGAACTTCAGGATCTCGTGATCCTTCCTCGTCTTCAGATCACCCCTCGCGAGTTCCCTCCAGAACCCCCAACAGTGACTTCATTCGCCGCTGTGACAAATCTTCCTACTGTCATGTCCCTGCTCTCTGCCACTTCCAACTGTCCCTCAAGAAACTCCCATATCTGCTTAATGAGGAGTGGTGCACTCTCCCGCGTCTTTTAGGTGGCATTCTCAAGCCGTGGTGTTAGCAACGGTCACCTGCCTCTCTCTTGCGTCAGACGGTATGCCCTTGCTTCTGACTGTTTCTCGGCCGCAGCCACGTTCTTTCTCTCGTTGTTCGGCCCCCTCGCCTTGCTAGTGGGGCTCGTGATTGTCAAATCCATGCCTCGAAACCATAGATTCATTGTCAAGTGGTTAATTGTCGGGTGGTCATCCCCAACTTCTGGATTGAACTTCAGCTGCCGAGCAAAGTTCGAGATCTCAAGCAAGAGGACCTCGTCCAGTACCATGAGGAG